GCCCCACTCCCCTACAGCGCCCCCTGCTGGCCGAGGCCGGCTGGGAGCGCCCCCCACAGCCAGTGCCCCCTGCCCCACTCCCCACAGCGCCCCTACTGGCCGAGGCCGGCTGGGAGCGCCCCCCACAGCCAGTGCCCCCTGCCCCACTCCCCACAGCGCCCCCTACTGGCCGAGGCCGGCTGGGAGCTCCACCCACAGCCAGTGCCCCCAGCCCCACTCCCCACAGCGCCCCCTGCTGGCCGAGGCCGGGACAGCAGAGCACGCCAAGCGGCCACTTCTCCCCCCGCGTTGCAGGGCGCAGGGATCTGTTTGCTCAGTTCAACTCTTCACGGGCTGGAGGCTGAGGCCCTGGCAGGGGCTTCTCCCCTCCCCTCTCGTTACTGACCGGTGCTGCCCAGTCCGCGGCGGGGGGGCGCCCTGGAGTTAGCCCCTGCGGGGACGGCTGCTGTGCCGGGCGCTGGTGCCGCCGGGTCGGGGTGGAGATGGGTACGGAGCAGCGCAGACGGCCTGGCACTGCCTGGCATGACCCAGTGGGAGCCACAGGCCTCCGTGTGCTGCTGGTGAAACCCTACGAGCCCGGTGTGTGGCGCGGCTCTGGGCCGGCCCGGGGGTGTCAGCCCGGGGGTGTCAGCCTGAGGAGCCCCCAGGGCGGCCGCAGGCGGGCACGGTGCCGGTGGAGCCAGGCGCAGCTGGAAGGGAGCTGGGAAGCATTATCCTGCTATCAGGCAGCTGGCAGCTCGCCCCTGAGTCTCTATGGGAACGTGTCTCCCGGGCCATGGGGCTCTGGACCTCACCCTGATGCCCCTCGTGACCAATGGCACCCGGGGCACTCGCCCCGGCCCTCGCACCAGCCAGTGCTGCCTCGGCTCCATGGCAGGGCCAGGCCTGAGCCGGGCGTGCGGGGTCTGGGCAGGGAACCCAGGGAGATCCAGGCCAGAACCGTCCCCGGTGCCCAGAACCTGCAGTCCGGCCGCTCCGTGGGGAGGGGGCTCCGGCTGCTGGCGCCCAGGGGCACTGCAAGCCCAGGCCCAGCGCATCAGCCCCGGCCGGGCGACTGGGTGTCACGGAGCATGGGGGAGTCAGGGCCCTGCACCTCTCACTTCCTGCGATTCCCCGGGACTCTCAGCCAGGCAATGACACAGACGGGTTATTAGCCGATAGGACACAGTCCAAACCAGCTTGTAGGTACAGAAACCCAGACCCCTCAGGCCAGTCCATCTTGGGGGACAGGGAGCTGAGACCCCGGAGTTGGACCTCCCTCCATTTCCCCAGCCAGCTCCAAACAGAGACTCCCCCCAGCCCCTCCTCCGGCGTTTGTCTCTTTCTTTTGTCACCTGACCTCTTTGTTCTCCAACACCTTCAGTTGGCACCTTGCCGGGGAGGGGCCCAGGCCATCAGTTGCCAGGAGACAGGATATCGGCCATTCTCTGTGCAGACACCATCACACCTGCCCTCTAGGGCTCTGCAACAATCACACCCCCTTATCCTATGGCCTAGAGACTTAAGAAATGCATAGGGGAAACTGAGGCACCCACACAGTATTCGGAGAAAACATTAAGAACATTCCCACTTCATCACACTGGGAAATGACACAAGTGGGTCCACGTCACTTCTGCTCCCTCAACATCTGACCAGCCAGGCAGCGCCCCCAGCCTGACAGCCCCCTGTGACTCCCCACTCCCATTCCCCCCAGCTGGGCAGCACCCCCTGCCTGACAGACAGCCCGCCCCGATCCTCCTATTCCCATCCTCCCTGTGCCCCCTGCACTCCCACCCCCCAGCCTGACAGCCAGGGCCCCCCGTGACTCCCTTCCCAGCTCTCTGCCTCGGTTTCTCCCTGTGTTCAGCAGGCACGAGGATCCTGGCCCCACCCAGGGCTGCAGGGGTTAATTCGCTCACTCTGTGCAGGGCTGGAGCAGAGTGTGGGTCCAACCCCCGGCAGGGAGCGGGCGGATTGACCTGGGAATGCTGCAGGGGAGTTACATTGGGGAGGGGGGGCTGCCCTTGCAGGGAGATCCCTGAGCTGTAACCTGAGCCAGGAGGGGGGTGGAGAATTAACACCTTCTGCCCAGAGACGGGACAAAGGAGAGGAGGAGCTGGGGGCGGGGAGAGACGAGCTGCGGGAGGGTTTGGTTGG